AGAGTGTGCAGCATAAAGGCACAGGGCCACACACTGAACAATAAAGAGAAAACAAAATATTCAATAGCTACTCATTAAGCAAGTATAATCCACCCTGTGCAGTAAATGAGTCTGTGGAAAAACTAGGCTGTAATCATGAAATTAAAGACTGTCTCATAAAGCACATGCATAGGCAAATTAAGGCTGCTTGTGCATTCCCTGACCGTGACTGGGGTTTTTCTGGTTTTTTTGACTGTTTGCAACTTTAATAACACACTTCTAATGTAGTTTTGGGCGTAAGGTATTTAAATTTCAAAAGCGTTTGTACCCAAATGAGGTGCAGCCCTCGATGGCAGGCGTGCTGCCAGCACAGCCCCTGCTGCCATGGCTGCTGCCGGGCTCACGTTCTGGTTTTGGGAAGCCGGCAGGAGAGCAGAGCATGGGGGAGCCGGCAGCGTTGGGCAAGGCAATGGTGCTCTCTGCTGGGTGAGCGGCAGAACGGCAAGTGCTCCGGCATTAAACCCAAGCCTCTGGGCTAGCGGACTGCTGCAGGTAGAAGCCCGAGTGGGTAACTGTGGAGTCTGCACCTGGGCTGAGACTTCACAAAACACACATTGTATTTCACGTGTACAAAGGAAGCGAAAATTCAGCCTTTCTGGACATCTCCTTCGTGTTATTTCCGTGGTAGTAGCTGTTTGAGGCGGTTTGCTTCTAGCAACAGGAGCTATGTCAATATTAAATACAGAATAACCTCTTTTAAAAAGTTCAGGTTTTTTTACCACAGACAAAAAAATGACCTGATGCCTCCATAATTCAGAGAGACTTTTCAGCTAAATGGTATTTGGAAAACTATTAATGACTTACTGCAAGTGTGAACAAGCACATATTCTCTGTGAAGAAATAATTTTAAACCAGCTTTTTATCCTAAGAGCTGTTTATTTTTGTGTTTTGTGTGAAGTGTTTGGTTGAAACTCTAGAGAGGGGACAAGGCAAGGGAAATCGGTGTCCAAGTATCTCAATTTCCTTCTTCTGCTTAGTGCACCACACCTCAGCTGATTTCCTCTCCACACACAACTCCCTCAATCCCAAAACATTTTCCCAAATCTTAATGTTTCATGGAGCAAAGACCTGTGACTGCTGTATTTTGAATAAACCAACGCAAGCACGTTGACACTGACGAATGCTGGATTCTACAACTCAGCAGAAAAAGATGTAGTTTCAATTCTTGGTGCCTTAGTACGAGTGCCCTGCCCTAGTACTCAAACTGCACACAGACACTTTGGTAAGATGTCACTATCTCAACTCTGGCACTTTGCACTTACGGAAAATATTAGGTATGCATATACACAATAGCAAACTCAAAATGTGAGTTTAAAACGTACTCAGAAGGAAGCTTTACTATTTCCTGATAGCGTGGAACAGGATCACACACATCCATTGTTCTCTTTTTTAGAGGGAGTCGTTGGAATCGGCAGAGGATGCCAGTCTGGCAAGAACTCACGACTACCTGGATCTTTACGTTTGTAATATTCAATCAAAGATCAAATCTAAGCTGGAAAGAGAACTTGAGGAGTTTTGGGACAGAGACATAATTTTTAAACATCTTCCTCTGAAGCACCCTATCCTGGCCACTATGAAGGACAAAGTTCAAAACGAGGAAGCTCAGGTATCTGATCTGCTAATAGCGGAGACTGAGAAACAGCAAAAAATCCACACGGAACTAGGGAAGAGCAGAACCTGACCTTGTCTCCAGGTGAGAATAAAGTGGGTAAGATGAGCAGTGTTAGAGCTAACAGTGCCTAAAGAAACTGCATGTGGGAATACTCTAGGGATAATTTAAGAAAAGGAAGAGGATGAGAGAAGGTGACTTAAACACCTCAAGAACATCTATGAACTCCCCAGGAAAATTCCTCAACAGCTTTTTCAAAGCAATCTCACCAAAAGACCTGAGTGATTTATAAAGTAGCCTGTAGCTCTTACATAGGAAAAAGAATCAAAACACATAGGGAGAAACTTAAATATTTTTTTTAAATTGCAGGTGCAAAAAGCAGAAAAAAGTGACACTAACCTCAAGCCTCTTTTCAAGTGACTCTATCCTGTCTTTTTTGCTGGCCAAGTTAGCTCTTGTGTAGCGGCTCTGTCCAGGCAGGTACAACACTTGGCTGTAACATTCTTCCCACACCTGGTTATAAGCTTCACTTGAGAGCTCTCCATGCCCCATTCCTTGCTTTACCACTTCCATTTCTTGTGCCAGGAGATCCTGCGCCTGTTGGAAATGATGAGAAATTAATTGCCGTTACAATACACAGGATACCTGAAAATTCCTCTTCTCAATCCTTCAGCCTGCAATTCACAGGGGCGGTTTCTCTCTCCATACTAAAAGCTCACCACCAGGTTAAGCTAACTATGAAATCTAACACAGATGCTGTGGATTATAAATGAAACCCAGGCTAGAAGGCTGCTCACGGCGCAACTATCCCTCATTTTACAGAATTTGCCCAAACCTGACATCACTCTGCTGTAGTTAATGAAAGCTGTAGCCCAGCTAGATACTTCATCTTGCTGCAGCAGAAAAGAGATAAAAGCAAGGACCTTTGAGGGGAGGGAGAAGCGTTACAGACAGAAGCAGCTGTTCTATGAAATAAAAATCACTTTTTATTTCCTTTTGCTTGCCTTTCTTCACACAATCTGGAAAGTCAACTCTAAAATGGGTGAGCTGTATAAGCTCCATTGCAGAAAATTCTACTCTGACTTCAACAAACACACATTCTGTTCCTTGAGAACTACTAGCAAGATACAAGCCTGCTGCTGCTTCCAGTTTAGTTTACAAAGTAATTTACAGTGAACTGAAAAGATTCATGTTCTCTCAACTCTTAATATTTCTGACAAAGCCTCTGGCCCAAAAAGCTACACATAGGTCCTTCCAATTTTACTTGCACATAAAAAACTAAAATATCTTCTTCGACCTAGACTTCATTGGTTTTAAGTGTGTGTCTTCCCTTTCAACAGGATTTATACACACACCAGAAATTTCCATATCAGCAGTAGATACCTCACTGCAAGCAGACATGTATGTTTTATAGTAGCATATTGCCCAGCAAGTAATTCAGGTATCGCCAGATTAGATGATTCCAGGGATACAGAGAAAGGAAAATCAATTACTTGTCCCTGATCGTCAAGACAGACAAAAGAGGAGTATGCTAACCACACCTGACAAAGCCAATTCTTAAAGGTTCACTTTCAAATAGCTTCTAGCTGTACACTCTGAGGAACTGCTTAAGGCTATTTAGTTGTGGTACCAAAACAGTTCCACAGCTTTAAGAGCTCAGTATAATATGCTTCTCACCACTGCTATTCCTTCCCAAAAGAGCTCTACACATCAGGGAAAGAAACACATCCCCATTTTATGAAGGGATTTTAGCAGGAAGATGTTTTTTAAAATAAATGAAGAAATAAAGCAAAATAAACAAACTCCAGTTGAGAGTGCAGAGGCAGGAAAACTTCCTGATTCAAAATGAATTTTAGAGAAAGTGGCAATATTATGCTGAATGTTAGAAAGCAAGCAGGAGCAAGGATGCAAAAAACTTCTGCCCGTCAGTTAGACAAAGTTTTCAGGGACTCTGAGGAAAGCTCCTCAGACAAAAACTACTGGACTGTGTAATAATCTCTGAGGGAAGTGATAGAAAATCCAATTCTTGGGTTCAAAATAACGAGAGAAAGCACTCAAAGAGTGTTCCTAAGGGAACGATCTGACACTGGCAGGGCAGTGAAACTCATGACCTAACCGTATTTTCCATCTTTTAACTTCTTCCGCTCAGAAATCTTCAAGTATAATTCTTCATTCAACAGCAAATTGGAAGTACATACTGTTCAGTGTCTCTCATTTGAGGCTCTTGATTCATTGGTCAGACACAGTCAAGAAGATGCTTTTAAAATCTTGTATATTTTTAGAGTCACTTTAAAGTAATACAGGATTTAGGTGCAGAGATACCACAGCTACTGTCAGAACACAAGTCTCAGATAGCAGGAGTCTGCATAAAATAGGTGACTTGGTGGCATGCCATTGTGTCCTTTTCACTCATTTTTATTCCTGTAAGCATTTGGTCAAAGGTTACTGGCACAACTTCACAGGTGAAACTCTGAAAGAGCAAACCACAGCCCTGTGTGTCTGAACTGTCTGTCTGGCGCTTGGCAGCAAAAGGCAACATCTGTAGCTGCTTAAATAAATGAACAACTCGAAGCGGAACCCTCGGTACAAGACTTATTTAACTTGGGATTACAATGCAAAACAGGACAGAGTGCCCAGACAGCCTACTCATTTCATCCACCAACAACCTATTCCACTTATTCAGCGTTTTTCAACCAGGTACGCTTTAAAATCAGTTGCCATAGGCTCTGCACTAGCACAGCTCTGTTGATTTAGCTTGACCAACACAATTAAACAACTTGATTTGCTGCTCCAAGTTACGAACTGGCTACCACTGTCCTATTTAGTCTACACTGCTATGAAAAAACCACTTAGTAATTCTGGATTAACAAATTACACAGGCAGAAGATGAATAACACACAAATTTGAAGTCTCAATCTCACAGCTCCTACCCTGACTTGAAATGATAAGCATTACATTCAAATTTTTAGATTAAAGATAATGTCTATGGATTAATACAGCAACCTCCCCATTCTGCTGAGTGCCTGGATTAACATTAGCTCAGCAAAGAGTACATACACTTAAATTATCCTTACGGCTCTTCACACAACCCTCTGGAGATCTCTCAACCAAATTCTGTGCAGGCTTAAATCTTTCTTTGGAAGATTACCAGACCATGACATACAGAGACATGATGTCACTGCTACTTAGGCCATACGATTCTCACCTTCTTGAGATCCTCTTTAGAGAACTTCTCATACGGATTTTGCTCCAAGTAAGCCATATGTTCCGCATTGTTGCTTCCAAATCCCGGGCCTTTTCCCTTCTTACCACTAGGCTGTTCTCCAAATGGGTGGTGCAGAAGATCGAAATGCAGCATGGTTATCATCTCTTTCTTAATCAGCTCTTCGCTCTTCTGCAGGTCTGTCAGAGGTGGTTCCACATTTAAGGGTCTCAGTATCGTTTCATTAACCTGCCCAGGAATAAACAAAAGAAGTTCCTAAACATCATATATACCAAAGATCACATTAAATTCATATACCTCCACCCGTGTATGAATTTTATGTATCAGCTAAACCATGCAATAGAGGTGCCAAAGTCTCCTATGGTATGACGTACAGCAACCCAAACACCTGGCTGTGCTTACATCTGTGCATATGAAATACCTCACCACAATTTTGCTGTTAAAGTTTCCTGTAATGCTGAAATTAGCACTCAAATAAAGATCTAATTCCCTCATAATCTCCTTAGACCATATCTCCTCCTAAAATGGTTCAAACCTTTATTGCTACTTTTTCTTCCTTAAAGGCGGGGTTTGTTTCCACTTACTTCTGAGGGCCGTGGTAGATTCTTCTGAACAGCTTTGTGCATTCTCTTCAGCTCCTTTGCACGTTCTGCCTCTCGAAGAGCCTACACAAACAAGCTAAGTGTTACTCCAGCTACTCTAAGACAATCAGATGCTTCCTAGAAATGTGACAGAAAAACTGATTACTGCAGTAAGAAGTCCTTCAACTATAAAGTCTTCATTTTATGAAACTAGTACCAAATAACTTGATCACATCATAACTTAGCGGCTCTAAAGCAAATGGAAAGAGCACAGCAGACTAAGAGACAACCGAAAAAGTAATATCCATACATAGAATTCTCCTTCACTCTCAACCCCAGCAGACTTCGTTCTTTACAAATTTCTCCACATCAAGTTTGACAACTGCTCCAAGTCTCCAGACACAAAATCCACCAGAAAAAGAAAGACTCTTAAATTTGCAGTCAGGATTCTATCTGTCCTCTTCAACGACATAAATTAACTGCTTCACTCAAACAATACTTGCGAAAGCTTAAAAAATCCTCTGAACTCAAAAAAACCACATTTATTTGAAGATGTATTCAAAAACCAGATTTGCATCACAAAAATTAGGATAAGCAATAAACAGAAAAGGGACTGTTTTCCAAACAGAAAAATTTTTAAGTGTCTTTATTTACTGGCCTGTATAGCTATTTAAGCAGCAGAAATTAAGCTAGCATTCTGTCCAGCCTTCCTTGACTGTGAAACAAACCAAGGCAATAAAAGAGGGACCCATTCACAACTTGGCTGTCTGGGTAATCCTTCCACTAAACAGGTATGAAACTACAGGAGTCGTACGAGGAGCGCACATACTTTTTTCATCAAAAGGCACTATCTGTACCATAACACACCTACCTGCTTGCGGGCATCTATATCGGCAGTATCTTCTACAAAGGTTTCATCTACTTCATGTTCCTCCAGCTCTTTTTCGGCATTTTCAGGTAAAACAATCTCAAAGTCGTTCTTCGGAGCAGGAAGGGCCATGAGTCCAAGGCGCAGGTGTTCACGAGACTCTCTCTCCTGTTGAAATAACAGTAAGATGCACCACTTCTGGATTCAAGGCAGAAGATTTCATTCATCTACATTAACAGACAGAGACATTACACAATTGTTCTCTTAAGTCTGCTACGAAGCCAGCAGAAACAAAACCTCTCAAGTCTGACAACAGATTGACAAGGGACATAGATCTGTTGTCTGACAAGGGACGAGTTCAGAGGCCACAAAGATGATCCAGGGGCTGGAGCACCTCTACTACAGGGACAGGCTGAGGGAACTGGGATTGTTCAGCCCGGAGAAGACTCCAGGGGAACCTTATCACTGCCTTCCAATGCTTGAAGGGAACCTACAGGAAGGCTGGGGAGGGACTTTTTACAGGAGTGTCCACTGATAGGATAAGGGGAAATGGGTTTAAGTTGAAGGAGAAAACATTTAGACTGGATCTTAGGAGAAAATTCTTCAGTATGAGGGTGGCAAAACTCCAGACTAAATTGCCCAGAGAAGTTGTGGCTGCGGCCCCCCCCGAGGGGTTCTCCAGACTAAATTGCCCAGAGAAGTTGTGGCTGCTCCCTCCCTGGAGGTGTTCAAGGCCAAGCTGGATGAGGCCTTGAGCAACATGGTCTAGTTGAGAGGCGTCCCTGCTCGTGACAGGGAGGTTGGGTTAGATGATCTCTAAGGTCCCTTCCAGCCTAGGCCATTCTATGATTCTATGAAGACGTATGTTACTAACCTAGGCTGGCCCTCAGAACACCACCCTAGAGTATATACACTATTAAGCACAGGAACTCTCTAATATTAAAAAAAAACCACAAAAAAACCAGACAGCTTTCTTAAAGATAGCTAATGAAATCTTCAAACAGCCTGAAATACACTCCAGTAAAATAACAGCATGGGACCTTCGCCTTCCAGCAGTCTCAGTACAACAGCGAAGGCTCACATGAAAACCTCTCAAGAAACTGAAAATACATGAAAATGTGTCCACATTGACAATGGTCACAGCGGTGTGTGCAAGCCTAACTGCAACCTTTTTCCCTGCAATCTGGGAATTGTGGCACAGCACGAAAATGAGACAAATAGCACCAGATTTAGGAACCAGTGGAGTCCATTAGGAAATTGAAGCCCCGGTTTTCCTTCCAGCAGCAAAAAGCCTTTTCACTACAAAAAGGCTAAGACAGAACCGAAGCAGAAGGGCATCAGATAAATTACATCCTTCAAGATAAGAGGAAATCTCAAATTCTGAACTTGAAGAGTTGTTTCTGAGAAAACAACATGCCAAAAACTTGAAGCAGATAACCTTAGCTAGCCCCAAGAAAAAAAACGTCAACAGTTCTGGTGGGAGATATCCAAAGCCACAGATAGGGCTGAAGAATCAGTCACATAAAAGGAGTTCTCAAGGTGCTACCTATTAGGTACATGCCCTTTTATACCATGTCTAACTGGCAGGGTACACCCCTCTGAATCTCCAAGAATGGAAACATCTGTTGCCAAACGTGATGAAAGAATCTGGATGGGACTTGAATTACCAGACATCTCAAAACCAACTGCTCCTAATGGCAAAAATTAAACTCTTTTAGCTCAACGTTGTCAACCCGACAGACTGATGAAAAGGTCTTGTAGGTAAATTGGGAAGCCAAGATAATGAGGTAAGAGGGCTGCACAGGATTACAAGAAAAATTATCTTTGCTTGAGGTATATTTCCTGCTCAGCTTCAAAGACACAAGTGGGACTGAAAGTTAACGATGTTTTCTTTGACAAACAGCTTTAGAGTGCTTTTACTGAGAACACTGAAAACTGTCCTAGAGCAGCAAGATTTCTGTTCCTTCAAATCAAGATTCAATTTTTTCAGGTGACAGAGTACAGACCTGTAGACAAGTGGTAGAAATAACTCTTGCTTTTACTATAAAATAGAACTCTCTTCAGGAGATCAAAATTCAAAATCCTGAAAATTAACAGACCACTGATTTCCACTTTTTAAGTACGTCTTACCATTTGTTTGGCGTACGATGGATCACTGTAATCTGCCATTCCCTCTTCTGGGTTGATGTTCAATTTGTCACGTAGTGGAGTTCTACCAGGAGTTGTACCAACCACGGGTTTAGGAGTTAATCCTCCGCGAGGAGTTAAGCCTTCTGGTCCATGAGAGGGTGTTCTAGAGGAAGTGTGGATACAGTCATTTATTTTTTCCTAAAGAGCTCGACTTACAACAGTCTGAATGTTGCAGGAAGTTACGTAAATACTGTTAGGAAAGTCAATCTAGATTTTTTTTTATCCTGAGGCAGCAAAACTAAAATATGCCATCAGAAGAATCCAAAGCCCAAATTGTTTCAATCTGTCACGGTGTAACCAAGCACCTGTCAAGCTGAAATCTACGCATATCATTATGTTTATTTAGAGAAGTTTCAGGAACTACTCAACCCAAACTCCCGCTGCTACTTTCGAGAAGAGCTTATCCGGTCAGCAGGCACTATTCCGGGGTACAGCAATCTGGATTTAATTGCAAACTCCGATTTCCCTGCCCGCTATGGCAAGTCACTCACCCTGGAATCCATCTGCCTTAACAGCCACTCCAGCTTACAACTGAATGTATTCCTCTGAAGATGCCTCTTTGCTTTCACAGATTAGTGAAGGAGTAATGACATCACAGTAATTACTTTTAAGCCCCTAAGGACAGGCAAGATGGATTATTTTGTGGGCCTCAGTTGCTTCTCCTCCAATGGAGAAATACTGTTTTCTATCTCAGTATATGAGAAGCACGGAGATATTGTCTGGGATATTTCCATTACTAGTCAGTCATTCTGTAGTGCCAGGCAGACATCACAATCGTGGACAACACAACCACAGGTATTGCGTGACACATGCCACTGGTCCCTTTGTAAGAGATACACCAGTGCCTTATTTATTTACTGGGTATGTCTGTGAGAGGGAAGCAATCCTTCCTTCTCGCTGGAAGTTGTTCACAGATTTTTCTGAACTTTGATTTAGGATAACAAATACAAGTGATAACCTTTGCAGGATGACACCCGCAAAAAAAACGCAGAAAAACTGATTTTTATGCTTTCAAATGATTGTTTCATAGGATGCATTTACTTTGATTATACCAGCTGGAAAAGTTTTACAAGTTGGTTTTTTATTTTCAACTCAATTCCTTTTAAGAAAGATGTCAAAAAAACCCACACACAAAAAGAACCCTAATGCAAGACAACTTCCACTACAATTTTAATATCATCATAGGAAAAAAACGTGTAGTTCATTTAAATATTTGCTCTTTTGGCCTAAATAAGACGATGATGGATCTGCTTCACTACTCTGCCTCCTTCAAAAAATTACATCTTCCCTTTATTTTTAACAACTTACTGGATTTTTTTTTCTCTCTGCTCAAGGTCTTGGATTTTCACACTGATTTAGCATTTCTGCAAGCAAACTAAGTTGATCTGGAGGCACCACCTTTACACATGAATATCTGCGTATCAGAAGCTAAAAAAAGTCACCACCAAAAAAACCCCAATTCATCAAACAACACAATTAGAATGTCTTAATATTTTTTAATATAAAATAACCCCAATGAAAAGCTCGATCACTCCAGGCCAAACCCTACATTCATTCTGCACAGCACTGATGTCAACAGATCTCAGAAAATGACTCACTTATGTAGATCTAATAAAAAAAGCAGGGCTTTTGCACACAGCTATTAAACAACAAAATAAAGCTGCTTTTGAAAAGCTGCCATAAAGGTCCTTTTGATTTCATTCTCCACTTTTCCTACTAGCACTATGCAAGTAAAATTAGAATCTAAGTTGAAAAAATTGAGAGACAAAATGTACCAAGTGTAATATTTTTCAGCTGTACGGTATTTGGCATTTGTGGGATATATATTTATTCAGGACCCACCGTAAGAGTTAAACCAGCAATTCCATCCTATTTAGATTGGCAATGTAAGAAACATTTTATTTTGGATATATATGGCTTGTAAAATATTTACTCCAGCTTTTCAAAAATTCAGCGTGGGTTCGGCTGTGGGACCTCCCGCACCTTCAACTCAGAGGTAATACTTTGGAAAGGCCAGGATCCACATACAGAATGTCACTCCTTCTTACTATTTATACTCCTGTATGACTTGGGTAGAATTTATATTGCTCCAGACCACAGAAGACCTCATTTTGGATCAAAACTCCAGTGAGCTACACACTGTACAAATACAGATGAAGATGATGTGGCCTAGCTTGCCAAAGGAGAAAGTCGGGCATCAAGGGCTTGAAATAAAAGCGAGTTAAGTCTGAAGCACTGATTGTACCCTATTATTCCACGTGTTGCAATCTGCACCCACCACCCACCTCGCTAGATACGTGTCCAGCCAAGCACATGGTAGGAAAACAGCCTGCTTTACCTGAAGGGTGTGGAAAGCACAGTGTTTGGAGTCTGAACAACTTGCTTCTGCGGTGTCACCCCCGAAAAGTCACTTTCATGCAAGGGAGTGTTAAGCCCTCCTTTCAGGGGGGTGTCCACATTTGTGAGAGCCATCAAATTTTGGGCTTCCTGTGTAACAGAGAAAACACACAGCACATCACTAAGACTTCCAGTCACACCCTACCGCACAGTTAACAGGTTGAGTAGCAGTAAGTAACTTCCTTCATTTTGCTAGACTCCCGAAGTCCACAATTTTTATTACTGACTGAATACTCTAATCATCCTAAGGATCCTGATGTTCAGAGGGACCAGCAAACGCACACTCTGAAATCCAACAGCAATGAAGTTTGTCCTAATTCCTCTTAAAAGAGAATGTTCCAAGCGAGACGTTCGCTGCTCAGATTTTTGGTCCAGGACTCAACTGCTGGTTTTATGAATACTCCCCTACTTTTTATTTTACTTCTCCTTTTTGCAATGAAGAATTAAGGCACTCTGGAAATGAGCTGAGATCATGAAATCACTGTGTGTAGCAATCAGTCTTCACAGAACACTACTAATCCTCCTAGACAACTGCACAGATGTTTAATACTGCAACACATATGATGTCAGAATAATCCACCTGAAGGTGAACGTGACCATTTCTGAAAACACTGCACAGAGACCTAAATCATGATCTGTAGAGTCAGGAACTTTCTCTTTTCTCCCATCACAAAACTGCTGAAATACAAAGCATTATCAAGATAGGTTTATTTGTGATTTTTTTCTGGGGATAAGAGGTTTTGCTTATTTTGCACACTACCTGTGCCAATTTCATTTAGCCATTTCCCCACACTCAGGGGAACTTTATCCAACATTCTGAGTAGTTGAAAGAACCCAGACAAAAGAACTCACACAAATATGACTCAGAGCTTGCAAAGGTAGGTTTTTGATAATCTTTGTCTCAAGTGCTAAGAAAATCTCCCTGCACTGTTGCAGTTAATTCCTTCTTGTCAATTGAAATAAAAGCTGAACAGCAAAAATAAGTAGGAAACAATATAAAAGACATTTGTTTTAAGGACATGAACACCATATACAGCTTTCGACGCTGAGCCATACCCAAGAAAAGAGGAAATTTTATAAGTCACCAGAATGGTTAATGCTAAAACTTGCACAAACACAAAAACTCCCACGTCGTAGCGTTCTGAGGCATGGAGACAACTGATGGGGCACAAGTGGATCTGTTTCTATGCCCTTCAGCGTGTCCTGGAGATCACGTGTCAGTTCAGACCACAGCACCACACATAACCCAAGGAATGCTGCTGTGGCACTTATGGCTTCTCTTCAGTTGACCACTGCACTAAAACTAAGCGCCCCTTCTGCGGATTTACACTCTACCTGCAAGATCCTGTCTTGTGCTGCTGGGGTTTTGGGAGTCCTTAGTGCGATGCTGTTGTTGGTCACGTTATATTCTGACAGAAGAGTGCTGGAAGCCGAGTTTGTAATTCCAGATTCCTCAGCGGTCTGGCGTGCAATCTCGCTCGCCTGGCCCACTTTCACAACTTCTTCAAGTTCTGTATCAGATATCTTTAAAAAAGAAAATTCCAAGGCACAGTAAGATAAAATGCAACTACAAGATCCACTCGATAAAACAGACATCACTGATTGACAAGTCATTTATTCACCAAGGAACAGCTTACCTGAGGAGCTGGAAGCACTAGTTTACTTCTTTTTTTGGTAAATTCTGACACTCCACTGGTTTGCAGAATAGCTGAAGGCAAGTCTGACTCTTTTTTCCGTTTCATATGTTGTTTGTCTTTTTTGCGCTCTCTTCCCTCCCTCTCACTGTCATTACGGATAAGACAATTTTAAAATGCACAAACCAGCTACGAAGTACAACAAACAAGCAAAGAATAAAAACACCTGTGCCATAACCAGAAGTTGGATAGGCTGAAACAAAGCATGGTGCGGGAAGAGTGAATCACGTTGTGGTGCAGAAGTGAACTGATTAGATACGGTCCACAAATACAGCAGCAGAACCTGCACTAAGGCAGGGTAATGCTTCTAAACCATGGAATCAGGCAACGCGTGGTTGCTTCAGCGACGCTCAACAGGGTCACCGGAGCAAGATAAAAATATCAGTCTAATAATTTAGGCAGCAAGAATCATAGGATGTGAACAGTGCCTTCTTCTCCAGCAGCTGCTAAGGAAAGGCAAACATGTTCTGTGGGACAGGGGAACCAATTTCTCGTCAGCATTTTACAAAAATCTTCAAACAGCAATGGAGGCAGCCAGTGAGATCATAAGCTTCGGTGTGAAGCTCCTGCCAGGCTCTCTGAACTCAGAACCACACAGAAAGAATCAATTAGATCACAAGCGAATAAATCAAATGGTATGTAGCACTGGACTTGCACTCTGTAAAAAGCAACTGGCAGGAACAGTGGGAAATGCAATTGTACAATTAAATACATATCACAATGCTCACAATGAAGATGGGCATTTAATTTCTCAACTGCATGTTGAAGGATTTTTTGGGAGGAAGGGGAGAAATTAAGCATTTAAGGAGATTCTACTTAAGAACAATGCAATGAGAAGTTATACTACAATAACTAAAATCTACTGTAAGTAATCTTAATATTGTTACTAGATGGAAAGGACTGTAAATACACCAGCAAATCTAATACTAAAAGAAAATGAAGCTCAAAAAGCTTAAGATTTCTATTTAAAAAACGGAATGTGCATGGGGAATTTTATTCTCATGGGAAAAAAGACCAGCTAGACCTTCTAGAAAGATAAAAAATAAAAGAGACTGAAAAGGCAAAAGCAACTTGCAGTAGGATCTGTCCCATGGAAAATACAACTCCTGTCCACATTATATTTCAGACATTTCCAGGACTTAACACTTAGATATATGCATGTTTGTTTGTTTGGTTTTTTTCAAATAAACTGTTCCCTCCTTAGTATAACACCCACTTACGATCTCAATTCTCCATCCAGGTCTTGCTGACGTAGCTTCCTAAAATCTGCATCCAGGGACTGGTAGTTTTCCTCTGATGTATCATAAAAACCAGGAGCGGGCTTCTTTTCAAATGGAATTTCTGCATTATAATCCACACCTCTCTTCTTTTTTCGCTTCTTCTGGATCTCAATTCCAGCAGCCCGAAGTTCTCGTCTTTTCTGGAGAGCAGCAAGCCGTCTACAGAAACAGCAACACTAGGTGATATGAAGCACATACTCAGGAGTGAATCTTGTATCTGGTACTATTTTAATCAGTTGCTGCAAAGGTAGGACTGCCATTATTTAAACAAGAATGAAGCCCTTGTCACAAATGACTGTGAAAAAGTCTGATTCTGCAATGATTTAAAGCTGTGCCTGACTTTACGCACTGTAAATGCCCCAGAGTCAACAAAAGCAGTGCCAGCATATGACACTCAGCGTAAGTTTACCTAGCTTCTTCCAGCTGCTTCTCTCTTGCTTTTCTTTTGGCCTTCTTTCCCTGTGTATTAGCCAGACGCGCTCTAGCTTCAGACAGCATTTCAAGTTCATCTACAATAGTACAGAGAAGTACAGCTGTGAATTTGCACTTACAGACGGGAGCAAAGGAAAATGTGACATTAAGATCAGAAAGCAATCTTTAAAAGCTGAGCAAACCAACGCTTCCACAGCCACTCTGCATGATCACTAAACTAGTTTTCTCCAGGTTGCTCCAATATTGTCTAAATCACTGGCCAGATGAAGACCTGAAGAAAAAAAGCCTAATGCTGAAAACAATTCAACTAATATCTGCAGCAAATCAAAATATTTATGTAAAAAGGCAAACTGACCACACTAATTGAATTATTATTTCATTTACACCTTCAGCTGAGAACGCTATATTAAAGGACTCATTAACTTCCTTTACATCCAGATCCAGGAAAGCTGTATCTGTGAACCTCTGACTGTTCAAAAACATCACTGATCCACTCACAGAACTGTGGCAACGTTCATTTTTTTTAGTACATAACATTGCTATGTGCAAAGGAAAAAAGTCATGTAGTGTTCACGTACTTCAGAAGATTCATCTGGGAGGTAGGAGATGATGGGGAAAAGATGAAGATAGAGAAATAAGAATGCAACTAAGCAGAGCAGCTGTGAAAGTGAAGAGCAGCTGGACATGATAGGAAACGGTGAAGGCAGATTAGAAGGCAGAAAATACAACTAGAAAAGGAAAAGAGAACTGGAAAAGTGTAACTGACTATCCAGACACAAAAATAAATGGAAAAGTCATCAGGGGGCAGAGAAAAAGAGAAGAAACCCAGGGTACAGAGACCATGTAAAAAACAGTAAACAAACTCCTATCTTACCTTCATCCATGTCAATAGGATCTGGCCTGGCTGGTTTGGTTTCTGGATTTGGATCGATTTCTCCAGGTTTAAGTTTCCGAGGATCATCAGCAGTTTCTTCCTCATTGTCTCTCTGAGCAGCTTTGTCCCTAAAACCACATTGTATGCATGTCAAAACTGGCTCTTTGTTTTCCTCCAGGCTCTTAACAACCATCCCATGAAGTGTCCCCAAAGATGGATCAAAAAAAGTAACCTCACACTATGTACCATGTCTTAAACTTCTTATACAATTGCCACAGCAAAGATTCAGGAACAAGATACAGTTAGATAATCTGAAATCAGACAAGAGAAAGAAGCCAACAAAGTACTGCACTACAACAATAAAATGTTGTCCTGGTTTGAGCATAACAGGCTAAAAAGATTCTCAAACCAGGACAAATGTTCTATAAATCACAGCATTACAAAGCTATTAGAAGAGAACTCTCTTAGGGTAATCTTTAACAGTAAGGACAAGAATCCAATCAGTGTGACCAAACGAGCAATCGAGTTTCCCATTACGCTCAACTAATCGCACAAGAATTAAGAAAGCTCACAAGGGAAAACAGCACTTTCCTTCTCATGATCTAAAGAAACACTCTTTAGCAGAGAGAGATGACAGCTGCACACTGAGCTGTTTCAACACCATGTGGTTTATGTCTGTCTACTTCCTTCTCCCTCACACACCCACTCATGCTGACCAGCCACTCGAAAGATACCCAAATAAACCTGAAATGAAGGACTACAAACAGCATCGGTCTCCATGCTCCTTCAGGCAGAATGACCAGAAGCAAGAAAACAGACACCTCTCCCTATTCAAGACCACTCTCCAGGTTCCAGAATCTTCTCTGAAGTTAGACATATCAGCTGAAAAGAAACGGTCCTTAAGGATTTGCTTAGAAAAGGACCTGGTCAACTCAAAGACCCTCCATACTTCAGCCCCATGGGAGAAGGGAATGATACATGGCTACAACATACGCTGCAGATTTTCCTGGTCTGCACCTCTAGCAAAACAGCAACTCACAGCAGAAATTCATAGTGTTCCAAACACTGTGCAGCAGTTCTTCCGATAATCGGGGCAATGGTTCTCCACTGAGTTGGCATTAGCTTGGCCAGGTGCAACAGCTTCTCCTCCTCTTCCCGTGACCACTCTGTCTTTTTGATGCTTGGGTCCAGCCACTCATACCTGTTAAAAAGTGAAAATATTAAGGATGACAAGTTCAAGCTATTCATCAATTTGTCTGGAATTAACTCACAACAGTGTTTACCCAAATCACACAACGGGATTTCAAAATCTTGTCACGCAAATCTCATACAAGGTTTTCCAACCAAAGGGATGTTAATGCAGAGTATTTTTATTAAATATGTATTTGAGCTTTATAATGTATTATTTATCCACAACTTTTCATACAGATCTTGCCTTTTCTTTCTTCCCCATTTCTATTCCGGAAAAGTAAGGAGTTAGAAAATCAATCCAGAAAACGAAAAGTAAAAATCACAATAAAGGTATCAGGTATGTTTATATTAGTGTGATGTGGATCCTTCAACTTTACTATTTTTTCACTGTGTCAGTACTATTATCTTTATACCTAAGTATTCTAATAAATATGTGCAGATCAGTACCGGAGAAATTAAGCCTGATTCTCAAACAGATTTGTATTGCATGCATTTGCATTAGTTTTAAGCCCCTATATTTTTATAAGATGAAATTCTGGTGCAATTTCTAAACATTTATCCTCAAGCCAAACTCTCATTATGATAAATCAGAAAATTATCTCTAAAACAGATTAGTATCTCACTTCCTTGGTAATACCCACTGATTAAAAGCATGTAAACATGGAGAATAAATGTACACAATTTTACGTGATCCAGCATTTGCTAACACTGCAGTCACTGGCAAATACATTTACCTAGTTTTGTTCGACTACTTTCAAGCAACAAGAATTCTAAATATCCACAATAGCAGAAATCAAACAACCTCAAAATTATTGTTCCTTTGTGGACATAATTCAATCTGTGGTAATTTCCAAATTCCCACTAGTTATGAATCTCATATTCCCAGCCATGACATTTCCCACTTACCATCTGGCTTTGCACTGCTTTGCTGATTTTCTGTGCAATAAAGAAGCAATACGAGACCACTGGTTTTTGCCATATTTCATCACAGCTGCTTTCAGAATTTCATCCTTTAAAAAATCAAAAGAAATTGTTACAGATAACAGGCACTTACAAAACAGAAAATCTGAGCTCAGGCAGAGGAGAATACAGTCATTTTCTTCTAACTTGCTGACCCAGTGCAAGAAGCACAGCACCACTACTTCTTTTCCACATTTTATTCTCAAGATGAATGAGGACTTATATTTCAAAGGCCAATGAAATCAGAAAAGATTACAAGAAAAAGATATGTGATCATTATTATTGTGGCCAACTTCTCAGACTCAGCGATTACTTTCAATGCTCTTAAAAGCACAGTTTTTAAAGGTTCTGTATATCTTCCCTGAAGAACATCAATAAAGAGGTAGGGAAGTGTTTGGCTGGTAATCACATAACATCTGGAATGAAAAAAAGAACTGATAAGACACCTCATGGTGACTTGTTTTAAATACTATCATAAAATTATCTTCTTATTTTGCATGTTTTAATGCAAATGGAATAAATACCTATCCACAGAATATGCTGTTAAAAAAATGTATCACAGAATCATAGAATGGCCTAGGTTGGAAGAGACCTCAGAGATCATCTAATTCAACCTCCCTGCCAAGGGCAGGGACGTCTCTCAACTAGATCAGGCTACTCAAGGGTCCATCCAACTTGGCCTTGAACACCTCCAGGACAACATCTCTGGGCAATTTATTCCAAAGTCTTGCCGCCCTCGTACTGAAGAATTTCTTCCTAAGATCCAATCTAAATCTATTCTCCTTTAATTTAAACCCATTTCCCCTTGTCCTATCGCTGGACACTCTTGTAAAAAGTCCCTCCCCAGCCTTCCTGTAGGTTCCCTTCAGGTACTGGAAGGCAGTTACTATAAGGTGCCCCTGGAGTCTTCTCTTTTCAAGGCTAAACAATCCCAATTCCCTCAGCCTGTCCTCGTAGCAGAGGTGCTCCAGCCCCTGGATCATCTCATTCCAACAGATCCACGTCCCTCTTATAATGGGGACACCAGAACTGGACGCAGTATTCGAGGTGGGGTCTCACAAGAGCAGAGTAAAGGAGGAGAATCACCTCTCCTGACCTGCTGACCACGCTTCTCTTGATGCATCCCAGGACAGGGTCGCCTTCTGGGCTGCATGAGCGCCCTGCCGGCTCATGTTGAGCTTCTCATCTATCAACACCCTCAAATCTTTCTCTTCTGGGCTACTCTCAACCCACTCTGTGCCCAGTTTGTATTCATGCCTGGGATTGGCCCAGCCCAGGTGCAGGACCTTGCATTTTGACTTGTTGAAGCTCATGCAGTTTGCACTGGCCCATTTCTCAAGCCTGTCAAGGGCCCTCTGGATGGCATCCTCTCCCTCAAGCGAGTCCACGGCACCACACAGCTTGGTGCCGTCGGCAAACTTGCTGTCACAAAGATGCTGCACAACACTGGACCCAGAACAGACCGCTGAGGAACTCCACAAAAATAAAGGAACTTTACAGTAAGGTTCTCTGTAACAAGTAAATCTTAAAATAAATAACTTTAACATTCAGAATATAAGATTCAAAAGTGCTGGTCCCAAAGCTTATAAAATTCTGGAAAAAAAAAGTTTCAATTGTAATTGATTGAGCTTGGGAGACAGCTTGTTCATACACATCAACGAGCACACTGAGATCTGAACAAAAGCTAGAAGTCCTATCAACTGTCCGTCAGTCCCTCAGTGCTTTCCCCGGATAAATGGGTTTGTTATTTCTGGCTTCCTCACGGGTCTGAAAGTGGCATTTTAAATGCATCAAAGCTATTCTTGCAGCCTTGTCAATGACAGATGTTCTTCTTCTGCATCCACTTAGTACTTGTAGTTGTGTTCACCATGTGTTCAGCTGCACCGTGAAGATCAAGGACAGATCCTCTGCCCAGCAAAGACATCTCTCAGGCACACAGCAGCTGTAACTGTAAGCTCTAGCATGAGCTGCTAAAGGAAACAATTAATGTAATTTCTAGAATAAAATAAACAGACCCTCCCTCATTTTTTAAGATTTATTTGGTATTATACGGCATGCAGTAGTCATACTGATGACATTAGAGGGCTTTATGCAAGCAATTGGATGTTTTCCTAATGACCTGGTATCAAGTGGTTCCAATTTCTGCAACTTTTATGTTGTAAGAAAAATTGAAACACTAATCAAAAAAAAATAGCACCAGAGAAAGCTATTTTGTCTCTGGTACACAAAAATGGGTGAGACAAAGACCTATCTAATGCACTGCCATTGCTCTTAACAGTCACAAAAATTAGTCAATTATGGAAGACCATAAGAATGATGTAAACACACAGTGGTTCTTTCTCTCCTCTGCTGAACTCATTTTGCTACCTCCTGGCACAGAGCTGAAATGTTGTAAGTCGTTAAAAGCACAAAGAGTACAGAGTACACTTATCTTCTATTACTTTTTCTCACTACTTTCTGGATGCTTAATGTTCACATCATACAGTGGCAGAGTTCTGAATTTTACAGTGTCTGGTACATATTTTTGCTTTAAAAATACATCTAATAAAACCAACACCCTTGATTTCTCATGTTATTTACCTTTTCACAAACAAGTCCAGTTCTGAAAGCATATGACAGCAGAAATGGAGAGAGGAAGTGTTTGCTTTTTTGGAACCACATATAGTCTTCCGTTCACAAAACATTTTCATAGAATCACAGAATGTTCGGAGTTGGAAGGGACCTCCAGGGACCATCTAGTCCAACCCTCCTGCCAGAGCAGGATCCCCTAGGGCAGCCACATAGGAACGTGTCCAGGTGGGGTTTGAAAGTCTCCAGAGCAGGAGACTCCACACCCTCTCTGGGCAGCCTGGGCCAAGGATCTGGCACCCTCATAGTACAGAAACTTCTCATGTTGAGGTGGAACTTCCTATTAAACTCACTATTTCCTGTTCTATTACTGGCCTCCCCTAAGAAGAGATTGTCCCCTTCCTCTTGACACCCACCCCTCAGATATTTGTATAGGCTAAACAGCCCCAGTTTTTTCAGTCTCTCCTCATAGGAGAGATGTTCGAGTCCCTTGATCATCTTTGGGCTACAGATGAAGAGCCCATACCCTTCTTTACCATTTCTGCATTTGGAACGGTCATCAAGGGCATGATGTCTCATACCGCTAGAGAATAAACACTCAGCCTGCAGGTTAAGACAGTGCAGCCTGCAAAAGGCACACCTCCGGGGATGAGCTGGCCCACTCACCCCCTCCAGCTGCTGGGGGCATGTTTGTTTCAGAGCAAGGCTGTAATACTGGCCTGGCTAAGCTCCCCGTCCTCCCCAGCCTTCGGGTGAAAAACACCCATCTGACCGCTAGGGCAGGAGGCGAGAAGGGAGGTAAGGGCCGCTGAGGGATCAAACCCACCAGGC